TATATATATATATATATATATATATATATATATATATATATATATATATATATATTTGGGTTAAATTGGAGTTAATTTTTGTTTATCTTAGCATCTTACTATTTCTTATGAATTATCTCATTGTCATTTGTTTTGAAGGCTACAAATCTTCATTTCAGGGGTGCAAGGGTCTTTAATGCCATTGTTGAGGAGTTGCTTAGCAAAGGGATGAAGTTTGCATCAAATGTAAAATCTCATCCCCTCTATTTGTATTCTCATTTGTTTCGATTTTAAGAATCTCAAACACAATGGCAACAGGCTCTTTTGTCGGGATCTTCGGCTGGTGGATTAGCTTCCATACTACACTGTGACAAGTTCCGAGATCTCTTTCCCAAAAGTACTCGAGTAAAATGCTTTTCTGATGCTGGTTATTTTGCTCATGTGTAAGTTTATCTTCCTACATCAATTAAGACATTATTATTTCTCACACATATGTACATTTCTTCCCAATCGATATGGTTATTCATATGTATTTTTCGTTGAATTTTAACAGAAAAGACCTATCTGGAGAATATAAGTTTGAGGGATACTACGATATGATAGTTACATTACATGTATGTTACTGCTATCTCCTTTTACTATTCCTTTTCGATAGCTCATGATGTAAATTATTCCAAAAATCACATAATTTGGAAGATAAACGTTTATTGGTGTTTATAGGGATCATCTAAAAATTTGAATCCCGAATGTACTTCAAAAATGAAGCCAAGTCTAGTAAGCACTTGTATCTTGCAAACATTTTATACTCACCATAGATTCATGGAACCTACTTTACTAACAAAAATTATATTGCAGTGTTTCTACCCACAATTTGTCATCCCATATGTCAAAACACCTGTTTTTATATTACAAACTACATACGATACATTCCAGGTAAGCTTTTAAAACAATATATCAGAATTTTTTATTTTATTTTTCTCCTAAGTACAAACGAAGTTGAATGGATTACATCTTACACTTGTTCTTTGACTTGATTTTGTAAATATTAAGGTACAAAACATCTTGGCTACACCACAAGCAGATCCTAAGGGACTCTTTACCAAATGCAAGGAAGATATCAATGTGTGTTCATCTGCACAGATCCAAAGGCTACAAGGTCAATAAACTCGCTGAATGTTGGCCTCTGAATGGCTCCATAAAGATGTTATCAAACAGCCACTTAGTTGGTTTATAGAAAGTAGATGACGCTTGTAATATCTTTTTCTTGTTGCTTTTGATTAGATTTCAGATGGGAGTTTTTAGAAGCATTTTTGGTGGTTGGAAATGGTACATCAAGAGGATGGTTTGTTAACAATTGTTTTACTCATGGCCAATGTGAATACCAATCAAAATGGTCAGGAAATTCTGCTTGGGAATTGAACCATAAGGTAAACATCTCCTTCAAACATGTTCACTCATCATCTCTATTTCTATAGCATTGTAAATTGAAACACAATTTTAACAGGCTATTGCACAGGCAGTTGGTGATTGGTTTTACGACAGAGGCACTATCCAAATGATCGATACCCAAAATGTGTTGCCACACTATTGCATCAAGTAACCATATAAAACTATTATCTACTGTTTTCTTGGTAATGTAACATAAATAATAATGATAATGATAAAGAAATCTAGAGATGTGGCATGCTACTGGTATTTGACCTCTTGTACTCAGATAATGGAGTTCGAAATAGTTAAGAATTAAGAAGAAAACAATGGCAGTGTGTGAATGTTACCTTGATGAAAATGGTGGATCTCACCCTTCGATTGATTGAATCAGCCTTCCTCATCGTCTGCTTTCAGGTGATAATGGGGTGAATTCGGCGATTATAGGCGATACATGTAATTCCAATTCTCCATTCATCCAGAATTTCGGACCCTTGACCGTCGGCAGAAATGGTGTGCAGTGTTCAAATTCAGATATCCTTTCGATTGGTTTGAACCATCTGAAAATTAATATCCCTAAAATCTCCATCAGTTGTGTATGCTAAAAAGTTTGCTGAAATAAAACCCTAGCTCATGCCCAAGGCTTATTTTCATAAAATACTATATTTTGTGTATAACCAATGTATTATACGGGTTGATTAAAAAAAATAAAATATTAAAATATAAATAATAAGTATTTTTTTAAATAAAATTTTAAAATAAGGAATGAAGAAACATATTAATTGCAATTTAGTATAATGTTTATTACATTTGATACCTTACATATATATATATATATATATATATATATATATAAATTTAAGTATTATGTGGTTTTTTAATTTCAAAAATTGAAAAAAAAACATAAATTGACATGTGGATATTATTTATTTAAAAAAATATCACAAAATAAAAAGTGTCAAAACTTATTAGAGATTGACATGTGGCAAAATTATCTTCATTTATTATAGTAGAAGATCTTATATATATATATATATATATATATATATATATATATATATATATATATTCTCAGATTAAAGTTTAATTTTATTTTTTGAGAAAATGTCAAATAAAGTTAAATATTTTGGGTTAGTTTATGATTTAATTCTAACTTTTATTTTTTAAACAAACAAGTCTCGATTATTTTATATTTTATCCAAATTAATAAAACAACCTTTATTTTTTTCCAATAGAAAATAACAGATCAACGTATAAAAATAGATAATCGGGGTTTTTTTGTTCAAAAAATAAATGTAACCGTATACGGATACAAAATATTGAGACTTTATCGGACATTTTCTTTGCTTTTTGCCTAAAAAGTTGTATTTTTTTATCCGACCCTTTTAGTCATTTTTTCAAAAAAAGTTATAAAATGTAAGGGGTTTTCGAGAAAAACCAAAAATGTTGAAGGTTTATTTGGAGTAGAAGAATAAATAAATAAAATGTGTAAGGTCCCAAAAAAATACTAGTAAAAATTTCATTTTCAAAACACCCAAAATGATACAACCATTTGTTTCAAAACCAACCAAAGTATAAATATTCTCAACATCAGAGTAAATCAAATAAACAATACGGAATAAAAATCCAGGGGATGTTGTGCAATCATGTCGGACCCTTCTCTTTGGAACCAGAAGTACCTGAAACATTTAAACCACAAAACCGTAAGCACAAAGCTTAGTGAGTTCCCAAAAATATCACATATCATACATAACATCGGACCTCGCCCACATAACGGGCCCCACCCAGCATAATGGGCTCAATCCAACATACATGCAACGATAAAAAAAGATAATATAACACTCTACATAGTATAGTGAGAAAACTCACCTCACACTCGAATATGATCAACCACAACTCAAACTAATCAAGGAACCGGTGTTACAACCCACCTATCGAAATATTCAAGATTAGTCCTTAGTCTATCTTTCACACTAACCATTTATCCAAAAGTCAACCATGTCAAAAAGTCAACGGTCAAAGTCACCCCGGACGATCCTCATGTCGTGACCACCCATTTGGCCACATCGTGAGAGCATTACGACAAAACAATCGCGACCAGGCCAGCCACCACGTCATGGTAACTAGGCATAAACAACTTAATGGATTAAGCTCGTATCACTTTATCCAACTTTATCCATTAATACACTCCAATAAGTCGAGATCTCTAATCCTAGGTTCTTAATGGTTGCACCAATTGCATGGACACCACCGTAGGTCATGCAAGACCACTTTCCAACCAATACCATGGTCTAGAACTATATAATGCACTCGAATACTCTGGAGTTTACCTAAACTCCAAAGACAAGAAGATTGGGACTAAAAGATCATAAAATAACCTAGCATAAGATCTAAATATACAATGATCAAGGTTGAGACTTTATACCTCCACAAGGTCAGAAATGAGATAAAGATGCTAGATACAAGCCAAAACCAAGTTTCCAAACCACTAGATTGACTCCTTCTTCCAAGCTTCACAAAATGGCTTCACATTCTTAGAACACACACAAAGAGGCTCGTGTTTGGGTGGGGATCGTTTTTAGAGGATGGAGGCTGCTAAATGAGGCAGCCTTAGGAGTTAATGCCTTTAAATGGGGCACTAATCCTGGAACCTAGGGTTTTAAACCCTAGCCATCGTCACGTCGTGTCCAAGACCTTGCCACGCCGTGATGGTTCACGAATGCACATTTCCCTAAACCGGGCTTCCACATCGTGGTCAATCCATGACCACGTCGTAGCATAGACAAAATCCCAAACTAAATTAATGAAACTAAAATCATAAGAACCATTGTTACAACTCTCCCCCACTTGAATCAGATTTCGTCCTCAAAATCTGCTGCTGCAAATAACTCAGGATAATGCTCCCTCATATCATCTTTGGGTTCCCAAGTCCATTCGCAACCCTTTCTGGTGTTGCCATTGCACCTTCACCAAACTTACTACCTTGTTGTGCAAGGTCTTCGTCCTCCTGTCTAGAATCACAGTCAGTCTCTCCATATAATTCAGGCGATCATCGACCCGAATGTCATCCAAGGGAACCATTTCAGAATCATTAGTCAGACATTTCCGCAGTTGAGAAACATGAAATGTGTCGTGAATCTGGTTAAGCTCGGTGGGTAAATCCAATCGGTACATAACCTTGCCCACCTGCGCGATAACTCTGAATGAACCAATAAATATGGGGCCTAACTTGCCTCGTTTTTGAAACCAGATGACATCTTTCCAAGGTGACACATTCAGGAGCACAAGATCTCCCATCTGAAACTCAAGGTCAGATTGGCGTCAGTCAGTGTAACTTTTCAGCCTGCGCTGCACGGTATGCAACCTATCACCCACCTATTGAATCAACTAAATGGTCTTGAGTACCACCTCGGTGCTCCCCATCACCCGCTGACTGACCTCTCCCCCAGAAAATTGGAGTCCGACATCTTTTCCCATAAAGCAACTCAAAGGGAGGCATGGCAATGCTTTCATGATAACTATTGTCGTAAGACAACTCAGCCAAAAGAAGGTAGGTATCCCAACTCCCACCAAAATCCAACATGCGCGCCAGCAGCATATCCTCAAGAGTCTGAATGGTCTGCTCACTTTGTCTATCGGTTTGTAGGTGGTAGGTGGTACCAAAAAAATAACTGAGTACCCAAATCCTCGTGAAACTTCCTCCAAAACGTGGAAGTAGAGTGGATGTCACAGTCGGAGACAACTAAAATCAATACCCCATGTCGTGCAACCACCACTACAAACAAAATTACATTTAGTGGCACAAACTTTTAGCAACGCGTTGGTTTTATGTCACTATATATAAGCTTTTAGTGGAATATAATTTGTGTGACAGTGTATCGTATTGAAAATTTTAGGTTTCCGCTTCTTATTCCCTCCAAGAATAAAAGCTATTGAAAATTTCAGGTTTCCCGCTTTCTATTCCCCCCAAGATTAAGATTGTTACGCCCAATCCTAAATTTTTTTAGTTTTAACTGGAATCACACCTCAACTTTCACTGCCCGAATTCATCTTGGAGATCTATACACCGACATTCTTCTCCCCCTCCCTTCCTCAGGATTCTTCACGTCATATCTATTAGAGCATCTTCTACATCAACGCCAGTCACCGCTGATTCCCCCATCCTCTATCCAACTGTAACACCCTGTTCCGAATCGTTCCTAATTCGGGTTGTGACCCAAAGATTGGTTATCATAAGTCTTAGTGTTGTGATAAGTCGGAGAATGATTGGGCTGAGATTGCCGGATGAACCTCGCGAAAGCGTCTTCCCCTGATATCACAGTACAAAACAGGAAAGATATCGTTAGTCGACGTCCGGGAGGGGTTCCTGGGACGAAGCTCCGACGATCTAGTTAGTATGATATCTAAGAGATGTGGTAACTGATTACAGAAAAGAGAGAATTCCGTCCCCTTCCTCGTGTGGAAGAAGGATCCTTTTATACCTGTTTAAGGGGTGTGTCTCTCAACTGATTATGTTGAGGATTCCCTCGTGAGGTGCGACGTGGCTTACCTATATTGGAGGGTCCTCCGTCACATGTTTTGCCTCGTTCTCTCATTGGCTGGAAGGAGATCTTCCAAACGTTTACGAAGATCGTGGCTATCGTCTAATGGGCGAGTGAGACTCTCTGACTGGTCCCACGTTTTCCAGGGTATGACTTCCTGGAGAAGGGGTTTAGGCGCGACTCTGCACCTTAACCGCCTTATCAGCGTCCTTCGCGTTGGCGAAGGCCCGAACTTGGCTTTAGACTGGGTTCTGACCAGGCCAAGCCCAGTTTCAGTTTGAATTCTCTTTTGACGTTCCCCTGAGGGATACGTTAACAAGTCCCTTAGGCTTGTAGGCGTATGCGTCGGCATGACAGCATCGTCGTTCGAGCCTATATCTCGACACGTGTATGCCTGGGATTAGTTCTATCGTTTGACGGGCCTTAGGCAGCGCCGTTAATATGTGTCAGATCCATCGTCAGACGGTTCGTGACACCGATTTTTTCTTTAAAATCTCCCTTTTTCCAAGACCTTTCATCCTTACCTCCTTTCTTCATCCTCGTTGTATCTATCTGGGCATTCTGAGAATTCTTCTTTCCGATCACTTATTTTTTCCTCGACAATGGACCGTTACGATAGAGTCCCTACTGCTGAGGAGTTCCAGTTTCTGCAAGACCGCTTCGGTTTCTTGTTGGAGCATGGTGTAATGATTCCGGCAAAGGGGGTATCGATCTACGATCGTCCTCCAGGGAAAGTTAGAGTCCCCATTCCTTTGTTCGAAGCGGGGTTGCACCTGCCGACATCGTATTTTTTCGATATGATCGTGCAATATTACGGTTTTACTGTCGACGAGTTAACCCCGAGCGATGTCAATAAGATCGTCGGTTTTGAACTGATATGTCGCTCTTTGGGTCGCGTTCCCACCTTTTGGGTTTTCAGTTACTTTTTTTGTTCAACTACAAACTCCAGCGTCCGTACCCTAGCTAAGCGACGGGGCTTTCATCAACTGATCTCCGAACTGGATACTTCGAAGAAAAACTGGCAAAGGCAATGACTTTGGGTCGACCGGAACCTCGTGGGGCATGGGTATCGTAGAAAACGAGACTTTCCCGATCGTCTCCCCAAGCTGTTTGGGGACAATCTGACTC